ATGGTATCCCAGGTGAGGTATTGGATTGGGATTCAGAATCAGTTACTAATATTACAATCAGCAATTGTAGACACCTATGACAGAAATCGGAAGGGAAGGATTATAACTCTTTATAATGCCAGAACCAGTTTTTGTAGAGGCACTTTAAAACACGCTTAAAAATTCATAAAAAAATTTAATTTTTGTCAAGTAACGCTTGAAAATATGGTATTAATACATTATTAATCTTCTTCTCTGGGTGCCATATCAGAATCCTGATGTCGGCGAGCACCCAGCGTAAGTTAATAAGTTGTTAGTATGTGTCGAGGTGTATCCTGGGGAAGTTACATCCAGAGTGGTTCCCCATTGCCTTCTCCGCAATGTTATGCAAGGGGAAAGAATGCCTTCTAGAAGGTCTTATAAGGGAAACTGGCCCCTATTCAGGTGTTACAAATGTGGAGAATACCCGGAAAACTCCACATGGCCAGCCCGTCAGAGTGCGGTGCAAACCCGTGACTGAACTCAGTGTTTAGCGACAGAACCGCTCGGCCACATTATTAATAGCACATTTAAATAATATATTTTATAAATCAATAATAATATAAATACTTTAAAAATATAAGTAGGTCTAAATATATAGGAGCCTCTAACCTAACTGTGGTCTGCAGTTCTATGTCATTTTTTGACTGGTCAGCCTGGTTGTAGCAGTCCGTAAACTTCACATGTGTCGGGCTGCAATTGGCTCATGTATTTAAGGAGTCCTACAATGTGAAATTCTTATAAAGTGTAACGTATCTATCACTTTTTAGGGGGGTCTACTGTATTTCACTGTCTTGTACAACACATCAGGCATTCTGATAATGATACAGTGAATACTCTCACACTTTACTTTTTAACCTGTCATAATTGGTTTATGTTTTTGGACTTTTCTACCTTTTTAATCAAATAACATTTCAAACATTTTAAATATAGATCACTTCCGTGTTGCGGCGTTATTGACAGCGATCTGTTAAATTTCAGATATACTCGCTAGTACTTTCAACAGTTTACAACCATCGTCTTCAGGCGAAATTGAATACCTTTGTTTTCAAATTATGTAATGCACATGGTTGGAATATAGAACAAATTAATAAAAATTGAATAATTAAATATTTTAAAGAAACATACTGTAATAATGTGAACTCCCCAAAACATATAAATACTGAGTGATGGTGCCGTGCATGGTAGTGGAACAAAATCAGATCACAAAATTATAACTTGGATTGTTTAAATAAAGTTATCCATAGCTGTGGTATTTCCAATGTCAGCGCATTACACGGCAAAGCACAGATATGTAAAGGTTTTCCCATATGAATATTTGCCTCTGATCATTACAATGCTTAAGTAATTTAATGCGGTTCCAAAGTGGAAGATAATCTTGGTCTAGAACCTTTTTCGCTAATTCTGTAGCTGATCTGTTATTTCTAATGTCCTCTTGATGTTTGAAGATGCGGGGCCGTATCATTCTGGTGGTAGCTCCAATATAGATAATTTCCTCCCCTGATATTGACGGAAGTGTTCTATATTTAATTTCTAAATGCTGGCGTGAAGTGAACTTTACTTTCATTCATTCAAACATTTTATCAGAATTATATCATACTTTACAGGTATTCCCTATTAATTTTACATTTCATTTCTTAACTAATTACTTAAATTCTATATTTAATATATATTTCTGTTTTTATTATTCTAGCCCATGTTTTTATATGGTTTAGCAAAAATTCTTTTAGCTCTACTATTTTACTTATTTCTCTCATGTTTTACATAGTAATTTGGTTATTCCAGCAGTCACTATAATAGTCTTAGGTATATTTACTGTAAAAACTTTGTACATGTATGTTAAATATGTTTAATACATTCTATAAACATTACATAATTTTTTGCTGATATATTTGATATAATAGGACTGAAGAGTGGCACTAAACCTGAAATGCATATCCTTTTGTGTCAATAAACCTACTTTTTCCATTCAAAGTGTTCTTGTATGATTTATTCTCAACAGCAACCTTGTGTTAATTCTGAAGGAAATACATGAATTGTTTTTTCAGTTGCTATTGTAGCAGCAGCATATTCTTTTGATTCAGATTGCCTTTTCAAAGAACTATGTCCTCTTGTGCCAATATTGACCATGCTTTTGCAAATAGAGAATCCAACATAACCTTGTCTTCGAGATGAGCTTTTAGCCCAGTCATGGAAGTCACCAACCGAATGCCGTAAATTAATCGGGCTATTTTAATGCTAAATTCTAAATAAATTACGTAATTAATTTGGCACTAGAGGTAAGCGTTAGGCGCCATCTCTTATTAAAATTAATAATTATAAATATATTAATTAATTTAAATAATTTGGAACCGCTGGGAGAAAAAATCGGCCCGGAGCGGGACTCGAACCCACAACTCCTGCTTACCGTGCAGATGCGTTGCCAGTTACGCTACCCGGACCTCCGATCCGATCTCCTCTTCCAGCGTATATAATCTAACTACTTAACCATCGACNTAGCGTAACTGGCAACGCATCTGCACGGTAAGCAGGAGTTGTGGGTTCGAGTCCCGCTCCGGGCCGATTTTTTCTCCCAGCGGTTCCAAATTATTTAAATTAATTAATATATTTATAATTATTAATTTTAATAAGAGATGGCGCCTAATGCTTACCTCTAGTGCCAAATTAATTACGTAATTTATTTAGAATTTAGCATTAAAATAGCCCGATTAATTTACGGCATTCGGTTGGTGTCTTTCTATATTGGATATCGGGTTTGGAGATATTTAGTCATGGAAGTCTTTATGATATTTCACTTTCCCCATGGATCTACTCATAACTTGCTTTGACCTTTTCCTTTATGGTATCCCAGGTGAGGTATTGGATTGGGATTCAGAATCAGTTACTAATATTACAATCAGCAATTGTAGACACCTATGACAGAAATCGGAAGGGAAGGATTATAACTCTTTATAATGCCAGAACCAGTTTTTGTAGAGGCACTTTAAAACACGCTTAAAAATTCATAAAAAAATTTAATTTTTGTCAAGTAACGCTTGAAAATATGGTATTAATACATTATTAATCTTCTTCTCTGGGTGCCATATCAGAATCCTGATGTCGGCGAGCACCCAGCGTAAGTTAATAAGTTGTTAGTATGTGTCGAGGTGTATCCTGGGGAAGTTACATCCAGAGTGGTTCCCCATTGCCTTCTCCGCAATGTTATGCAAGGGGAAAGAATGCCTTCTAGAAGGTCTTATAAGGGAAACTGGCCCCTATTCAGGTGTTACAAATGTGGAGAATACCCGGAAAACTCCACATGGCCAGCCCGTCAGAGTGCGGTGCAAACCCGTGACTGAACTCAGTGTTTAGCGACAGAACCGCTCGGCCACATTATTAATAGCACATTTAAATAATATATTTTATAAATCAATAATAATATAAATACTTTAAAAATATAAGTAGGTCTAAATATATAGGAGCCTCTAACCTAACTGTGGTCTGCAGTTCTATGTCATTTTTTGACTGGTCAGCCTGGTTGTAGCACATTCCTCTATCTTACATTACGGAGAGCATGCAATTATTACTATTGCGCATTTGGTTCATCGTTTTGATTCAAGAAAACTTGAAAATGGCAAGCATTTCTGTGGAGTGGCTACTAGGGCAGGCAGAGGGCAAAATGACATACTGCTCACCCAAATGATGGATGGTAGAGATCCTTGCATAAGGCGAAAATTTTTATTGAATTCACATAAAAAATTTTTTTATCTGTTCAATTCAGCTCCCCCCCTCGAGTGCACCACTGTATCGGTTTGCAAATTTATTGATAAACTGATATTGAAAAACTACAATATATTGGTATTTTAATATTGCTAACATAGCAATAGCATTGGCCGGTTCATACTAGTCAGAGAGTAACACTTGGCTGATAAATGGATCACAACTCATTCAAATAAATTGTAATTTTCTTTTCCTGCTTCTCTGCTCAATAAATGATTTTAAATTGATAGGTTACTTAAGAAATCTTGATATACATGAATAATTTGGCAAATTTGTCTCAGGGTCAACTTGCATTTTTGGGTCATTTCCTGATTTGAATTTGCATTTGGTGATTTGGCAAGTGGTATACTTTAAATGCTGAATATTTCTAAGAACAAAAAGGAGTTATCCCTATACAAGAATGAGGTTGGCTGGAAACCTGTCACAACTTAAGTCAAAATGCTTTTTAAAAGATCTGCATATATTAAAGTCACAATGCAATAAGTATGGAGCATAAGAAGCAGGGCAAATAACCTCCTATCAAAAACATAGCTATGGAAATGTTTGCAGCATACACATATTGTCGTAAAACCTTTTGTTTATAACTCTCACTTTCATCTGAACATTTCAAATATACATAGTTTTGCACCAATTACAAAAATGTTGAGATTTTTAATTTCATTTTTATAAGTTAATAAAATAAATGCAGTAAACGTTTTATATATCATAAACTACAAGCCAACAAACACCATGTCATCAGGTTAGATAACGACTATAATACTAATAAATTATGAAACAATTTGGTACTAGAGGAGGCGTTAGACGCCATCTCTTAATTAAGAAATAGCACCTAATGCCTCTTCTAGTACCAAAACCAATGGCACTGGTTGGCTTTGTAGTTTATAATACATTGGGTTTTAATGTTGTTTGTTTATTTTGTTTGTAAGTTTTACTGTATAACAGAAATGATTTTGAATTAATTGCGAAAATTAAATGAAATTATATTTGCTATGATTAATTTATGTAGATATTTGTAACATGTACTCAAATTTATGTGCGTGCGCGAAAATATTTGTAAGCAAAATAACGTTTTAAATATTGATGACCATAACTTAAAAGGTAATCTCTTTACTTATGCAAATCCATAATTAAAATTTACAATTAATGTTTGCGCAGAACAGACTAAATTTTGTTTCTTTTCCCTCCTAAATTAGTTTGTAAATAAAAAAAATCATTAATTTTACCTGATTCTAATCTGACTCGAACTTCATCATCCGTCAACAAATCTAATGCCGTGTTCATTACTTTATCAATGAATTGCGATGTTGACTCATCTTCAAGCGATTTCTTCAAGTAAGGTAAATAAGCTTTAATTCCGAGCAATAATCCAAGTTTTTCTTGCCAACAATCGGAATTTTTCGATAACATATTTTCTAAACATGACTGTAAATTTTTCAACTCATCAAATTTTGCATTGGAGAGAAATTTTTGTAATTCATTAACTCCTCGATCTCTTTCTAACTTCATAGAATGACACAGTAAAGTCATTATATCTTCCATTATTTGATGCTCAAACCTTAAATAAGTCTTAAAAATGCTTCTTCTCACAGCAGACTTAAACTTACAATCACATCATACTCTCATTCCCAAGCAGCAAACAATAATTTTATATAATCTATTCGATTATGTCTAATATATAAAATTTACAGAATGTAATAGTAAATGTCATTTTATTTTATAAGTTAATTTTATTAAGTTTGGAAGTAAATTATATTTTGTTTTAATTTCTTCTTATTCCGGAGAACGAGAGTTTAGAGATTGTTTGAATCAATGGCGGCGAATTCTGATGAGGCGTAAAAAGTATGGTAAACGAGTTCGAATTTCAGATTATTTAAACGTAAAAAGGTTTTATAATGCGACAACGTTTCAGTAAGCTTAATCGAAAGTTTATAAATTTTTGTTTCGAATTTAATAGCGCTTTGTATAATACAATATTAGTTTAGGAAGTTCTCTTTTGTTATCATTCTAAGCCTAAATGTTTTGACTTCTTGTCAAAACGGGTAGAAATTCAAAAATATATTTCGAATTTTTCTATAGGTAATTAAATAAATTCGTAAAGTATTTCGCTGATTATTTAACCGAGGAGTACAGGTAAAGCTTACTCTATCGTTTTCAGGTAAATGCATTTATAAATTNCTATATCGCCCAGGAAATTGTTTTTCGCCCCCTAAAATATAAATTGTTACTAATTGCCCCCTCAACATGGAAAAACGCCCACATGGGGGCAATATCGCCCCCATTGAGAAACACTGAACTAAAGGATACAAAACATACAGGCTGCCCAAAAACTGTTGACAAAGAGAAATTGCAGGAAGAAATTGTTAAAAATTGATAAACAACAACCTGTGAACTTGAAACAAATTTTAGTGGGTCACAGACATGTATTGTTTATATATAATGAACAGCATTTTTGAAATAAATTTTAAAGTGGTGGTTTTTCAAGGTAGTGAATCTTTCAGAATTATAAACAAGCCTTAAATTGATATAATACAAGAGAAGGTACAAGTTAACAGTATTGTTCCTGGTACATGTGATTTGCATTGACTACAAGGTTACTAGATAGTCAATTATCCCGAAAATAGCTCAAAAATTTCCTGACAATTATGTCATGTCAACATAGTGGTAAAATTTTAATAATTTCAATGCCTATACTACTAATTGAAATGCTCTTCACACTGTTATCTGTTGAATTTTCACTTATTTGCTTTCTTTCATAATTTGAAAATATTAAAGCAACCTATTAATTATGCAAACTAAATGGATAAAGAAAAAACAAAACTGTATTTTCAGTTTATATTTAGCTCTAAAATCTTAATATAATTGTCATGCTTTTTTCTTTCCACTTCATATATTATGATAAACCAAATACAGGTATTCCTTGTATAACATGGTAGTTAAGTTCCAAAAAAGTGCTGTGTTATACAAAACATAGGATTATGTTCCAGAAGGTATCAAAAGTACACTATTCTTTTTCTTTACTAAGAGAAATATGTTTATTAAAGCAATTGATAATTTATTTCCAATCAATAATTAATTAACAATCACAATTAAAAGTATTGTAGTAAGTATTAATATTCATTTTAGTTAAACAAGGTCATTTTCTTTTTACAAAATATTGTTGTCATCTCAGCTGTTTTGTTGATCTTGATCAGAAGTATCTGCAACATTTTTGTATCTTATTTTTATCATAACTAGGGTTTCTTGTTTCCCAGTCCATTGCTTGTCTTAGGATTTTGAGAAAAAAGTGATTTGTTTTCTGAGAAATCCCAGGATATAATGAAATTATTTTTAAGATGTAAAATATATCTTGAAATTGAATGATATAATTATTTTTCATTTTTTAAGTAATTTAATAAGTCCTGCAAGTTTCAAATGAATAATTATAACAATGCTATGTAAAATATGTATTAAAAATTACCTTTGAATTACGTAGAATTTTTCACAAATAGAAAAAATATATTTAAGTTTGCTGGAAACTGCTTACAACAAAAATAAAAAATGCCTTTGAATTGAGATGAAAATTTAAAGAAAAAAATGAACTTAGATCAAACTTCTAAGTTAGAAGGTGATTTTCATTATAAAACATAATACAAAATGTTATTCTAAATCTTATATTGATAATATAATCAAGATAGAATGATGATGATAAGTGCAGAGTCCATACGGTTGAAAGTTGAAATTTGGTACACAGGGTATGTCATGAGAATGTACACTAAGAAGGGATTTTTTGAAATTCTCCCTGTGGTGGAGAGGGAGAAGATTAAGGCTTATCCTAAAGAACTCAGCTTCTACTGTACTATTCTAGATGCAATTTTTTATTTTTAACTGCATTTTAGTAGGATACACCATGAGAATTCACCCTAATAAGAAATTTTTGGAAATCCCCGTGGGGAGAGGTAGAGGGTTAAGGATTACCCTGAAGAACTCAGCTTCTACTGCACTATTTTAGATTCAGTTTTTTGCATTTTTGAATATGTTTTAGTAGGGTGTGCTGTGAAAATGCACATTAAGAAGGGATTTTTTGAAAATTCTATCTCCAAGGGAAGAGGAGAGTATAAAGTGTAAATAATAAAGAAGGAAAGTAAATAGTAGCGCACATAGTATACATTTTGACAGTTAATAAATATTTTAATAATTTCCATTTTTCAGGTAACTCAAAAACAATATATCCAAAATAAACGCATTTGATCAAATATTTGAATTGTTCCAAATCCAAAAAATTCGAAATATTGAATTTTAAATATAATGTTCCAAACAAGTTATTTTTTTTTTAGATTTTAGAATTAAAATTAATCATTTAATTCAAGTAAGTTAATTCTCCATTATAATGAAAAATTTTCTGATTTTTTTTATTTTACTGTATAGGTTATTTAAATTTTTCATTTTTTAGGTTACTTAAATAAAAAATCTTTTTAAATACTAAATTATACTAAAAATAATAACTTGTATATTTATTCAGTTAAAATTCAATAATGATTTTAATCATTTTTTTCTATTCGATATCCGATAAATAGAACAGTGAAAATGAGATTTTTCATAAATTTGACCATAATCTTATAATCAAGATGGGTGGGTGATAATAATAATAATATTATTAAGTGCAGAGCCAAAACGGTTAGGAGTGGAAAGTTGAAATTTAGTACACAGTTAGGGTATGTCGTGAGAATGTACACAAAGGGACTTTTTGAAATTTCATCTGCAGAGGAGAGGGAGAGGTTACGAATTTGGATTTTATTATACTATTTTAAATGTGGTTTTTTGTGGAAAATCGAACATGTTTTTAGACCCATCTAAAAATTCTCTAATTAATCTCGGAAGAGGGTGAACCTAATTCTTGCACCTGGTAAAAACAGGAAAGATTGGCTATAATCTAATAATCTTAATTTTTGCTATCGTTACTTTTTGCCCGATCAACGCTGGACTCATCTGCTAGTTTTTATAACAAGATTTTAAAAAGCAATACTCCAATCACTCAATCTGGTTCTTATTTTAGTAATGAAAAGTCCTGCTACTGACAATGCCCTTTCTGATTCAATTGATATGGGTGGAATTGTCTAATGCATTTAAGAGAAGACAGATGTGTTTTTTTCACCTATAACCTGGGAGATTTTCCAGTTTGTTTTTAAGATGCATTGTAGTAATTTTTTTGCTGTCTAGTATTCTTGATTTGTTTATCTTGGCTGCTTTACAGTAATAGCAACATCAAGCTTATAGTCCAATAATTTGGCAGTTTGTTTGGCTTTAAGAATCAGGTTTACGAAGAAAAACTTCATACTTGCATACTTCATACTCATTTGTATCCTGGTCCAATTTGCACAACCTCACATAATGCAGTTATTGAAGCCACTGGGCATGGTTAAAAATTAAGACAGCGTCAGTGCAGTTATTCAAGATATTACAGGTTCTGACAAGTAAAGAATTTTCAGTCATGTCACAAATAGACTACATATTGATTATTGACAATTTATGACATGCCTAATAAAGCATTAATAAACTAATAAGCAGGCTTAAAATTAATAAATACAAATGTATTCTAACAGTTTGAGTTAATTATACTTTCTATTTGCAAAATTTCCTCAACCTTAACACAAAATAAAAAAATGAACTTTTAAGAAATTTGTGTGATTTACCGGGATGAGAATTTCACAGGTTAAAAAACAGCAGGGATCCAGTTAGAGAAACCCTAATTGTAACTAATTTTTATGGATTATGAATTAAAACTATGTTAATTGAAAATTTGTTCCAGCAAGTCGATTTTGTTCAGTTGAGTACTGAGTGACTTTTTTCCAGAATGTATATTAGAGCATTGTTCCGCAACCTTTTTCTACTCGCGGCACAACATGACTCAACACTGACATGTATTCAATATAGTGGCCTTCTGTAGTGTGATGTATGTATTTTTATTCAATTGTAATGTTCCCAGGCTTTTGTGCAGTGTGTGTGATATCACACCTGTACAGGAGACAGGTACAAGCACCCTTTCCATCTTCCACAGATGCTTTATTTCCTGGGAACGTTCTGTGTACTTGCTAATTTTTTCAGTAAATATGTTTTGTATATTGTGAGTGTTTGGAATAGATGTCTATAATGTATATGATTCTATTGTTTGTCAATGAGTGTGATGTCTGGTCTGTTGTGGTAAATTGTTTTATCTGTGATTATGGCTGCTGTTGTATATTTTGTGCATGTTGTTTTCCAATACTGTCTGTTCAACATATTTGTAATATGGTTCGTGGATGTCTAATAATTTGTGTTTTTTTGTGAGCTCTGAATGTATTTGCTACTTAATTATGTCTGTATAAATAATCTGTCTGTGCCAAGAGCTTGCAACCAGAAGTGATGTATTGTATGGTTTCTGGCATGATGTGACATTTTCTGCATGTGTCCTTTGTGATTGTTATATCTTTGAGTATGTGTTTTCTGTAGTTTTTAGTATTTATGACCTGATCCTGTATGACAATCATGAATCCTTCCGTCTCCCCAAAGAGGCATCCCCGATCTAACCAGCTGTTTGATGCAGTTTTGTCAACAAAATCCTGGGCCAGGTCATAACAATGGCTGCTGTGGAGTGCCTTTCAAGTCCACGATTGCTTAATGGTGTCTATGCTATTTATATGTTGTGTCATGCCCATACATTATGAATGTAAATTTAATGGTGTGTTATTTGAGTCTGCTAGAGTTACTGCTTTATGTAACTGTGATATTTCTTGTTTTTTGTAGAAAAACTCTCGCAATGTCTGTATTTGTTTGTAGTGGAGGTTAACTATGTCGATCAGGCCATGTCCGCCATCTTAATGTGGAAGGGTTAATCTTTCTATGGCAGATTTAAGATGATGATGTTTATGCTTAGTAAGTGTTGTTCTTGTTTTCATTTGGAGTTGCTCAAAATCTGTGAGTCCAATGTATAACTCCAAAAGAATAAGTGAGTACTGGGACGACATATGTGTTTATTGCTTTAACATCATCTTATTTCATCAGTGAATGAAATACAAGCATAAGAAACACAATGACTGTGATAAAAATATATAAATAACACTTGAAATTAATAGAATATATAAAAGTTCACGTTACACCTTTCATCTTGTGATGGCACACCGGTTGCAGTACACTCTATTAGAGTATTTTGTTTGTCATTTTTACAATTGAAGTAATCATTTTTGGTAAGTAATACCTATGGTTAAAAAAAGTTTAATCACACTTACTAACATGTTTAAATAAACTTTACTAAATACAAAGTTTAATCTATAAAAAGAAAACAGAGCGACAGTCTTAAAGGCTGAAAGTATGAAAGCAACGATGGCACCTGGCTGATGGGAAAGTTAATGCAATATTTTTCTTCCTTGTCTTATCAGTTTTCATTAAAGTAAATCCGATGAAAAGCCCAAAATAATTTGAAAAATTCACTGTTTTAAAATCCATGGCAAATTTGAGACAACATGTGTGTTTACTTAAAAAAAATCAAATTATGAAGTTTACATTTAAGAATTGTGAAATTTTGTATGGAGGATTTTCAAAACCATTTTAGAGTGAAACTGGAAGTTGTGTTATACATCACAGCCATTTTTTGTTCTTTTAAAATTTAAAAGGCAGCTAAGTTCTATTTATAGAACGGTTTTTCCAGTTTGCATTTTCTGAGGAAGGCTGATAAATTCAGTGGCTGAAAACATTCGACATGTATTTTTTGATGATTATTTGCTGGAAATTTTGAATTTAGGTGTGATTTGTGAATATTACAGTTTCAGTTTTTGGTGAGACAGTATTTATGTTGTGTTATACATTGGATGTTCCCAATTTTCAACTGTGTTGTACGAGGGATACCTATATTTATTTTGTTCTGCATGCTTTAAAAATATACTGCACTAATATAGATATTCTGAAATTTCAGATGCTTTATCTTAATGAAATCTTTATCAACAAAGTGTCTATATATTTAATATACCAATACTATGTTAAGAATAATATACTTCACTAGTTATAATTTTATGTAATCACTTAATTATTGTAGGAAAGTACAGGTATATAAGTTTTTATAAACTTAAGTTAAATATTTCTTAATATGATGTGCAAAGTTTTTGTAATACAGTAGAGCGTCAATTATCCGAAATGTCAATCATCCGAAAGAATTTCAGTTGACAAATTTAAATTTTTGCCAGTGCTGTGGCACTGCAATCTTTGGCTATGTCTTGGGCTACTCAAATATTTTACATTTTTGATACTAAATTAACTTCTGAAGTATAATTTTTTATTGTTTTTATATTTTTCAATATATTTATTTTGTTTGTACAAAATAAAAAAATAATTTTTAACGATACAATAGTCTTCGTTAGGCTTAACATCGACGAAAATTCAACGCGAAGCGACACGCAACGGAGAAAAATTTCAAGATGGGATAAATTAATATATTTTTTCGTACATAATCGGTTATTCAAAACATCGATCTTTCAAACAACCCCAGTCCCCAATTGATTCGGATAATCGACGCTCTACTGTAGTTGATTTTTTTTTTGTTTTAATCAATGGAACAACTCTAATTCATTTATTTTAATAGGAGCATTGTTGTTTCTAAAGTAGTACTTAATTTTATAAATTTTAAATATCACTAATACTGAAAAAACAGGATTTTACAAAGCATTAATATTTCTAAAGTGTTAATAATAATTAAAAATTTTAATAAATTAGTTCAATTTATTTGGCATAAGAAATAAAACTCCTATTTAGAGAGAAAAGCATATACATAACATTGTATGTACAGTCAAACCTGTATACATATATTTTTTTAAATATTAAGTATTTCTTAACAATACAAGTGGTTATTATTATTTATTTATAGCATAATACAATGTTATATAATTGTTTTTACAATATTGGACAGTTACACAAAGTGTTAAACACAAAATACTTGTTTTGTGGTGTTCCAAAAATATAGATAAATTTAAACTTTTAGCAATAGTTCATAACATAGATTGATGAAAATTGTTTTAGTATGAAAAGAACTGCAATTGTGTTTATTGACTTCAAAAATGCAATTAGGCATTGATTTTATTAAATTGTAAGGTTTCTGGATCCCTTTAAAACTAGCACTAAAATAATTTCTTGTTTAAGCTCCAAAACTGTTGTAAATTGTTTGTTATTAGCATAAATTTTTCAAGCAAGAATTCACCCACAAGTTCTCAATTGGATTTATGTCTGGGCTTCTTGCTGGTCACTTAATTGTTGAGTGTGAACAATGAAAGCCAGCATCGTCTTGTTGGAAAATCCAATCAGGTCCTCCAATTTTCTCTCCAATAGGTATTGAATTATTTTTTTTGGGTATCTTGATAACTTTTACATGTCTATCTACCAGTTAGTACCCAATTTTCATAAACCATTAAATCCAAAGCACACCATAACAGAACCACCACCCTTTTGCCTGCAAAAAACTGCACTTTTCTTTTTTAATTTCATGCCAGTAATTAGGCTATCTGAATTAAATTTCTTTTTATCACTGGCAAGAACTGAGAGCCATTGGTCATTCCACACCATGTGATCTTTAGTCCACTGCATTCTTGCCAATTTGTGTTTTGTTGGTGGTTTTTTCATCATGGCAGTAAATTTCATGTAACTTCTTTGATGAACAGTGCTTTTAGATATTTTTAATTCACTTTCAAACAAAATTTGACAAACTGATTTATCTTGTTGTGATGCAAGAGGCACAGTTCAATTATCATCCTTTTTAGATATGATTTTGAGCCTCCCTAATTGATGTTTAAAAGCTATTAGTGATGAGTTTTTCAAAATTTTATAAATTCTAGGAGTAGATCTGTTCATTTCCTTGACACTACAGTTTTCTGCTTTTAATTTTCATATTCGTGCAATTTCTTCCATACTAAACTCTCTTCCATGTGAAATTTTGTGAAGTTTTGATTCAATATTCAAATTATCACCTGATGACAAAGTTAGTGTTACTTCATGCTATATATTATTATTTTCATAATTTTAAGTTTCTTATGCTTGAAACTTTAAATCTGTTTTATTATCTATACTTTTGGGACAGCCAAAAATATATTTTTGTTGTTAAGTTATTAATATAATGATCTTTAATTATCAAAACTCAATGTGAAGTAATTTGAATATACAAATGAAATCATTCTCAAATCCTAACAATTCTGAAAAGTAGTAAAATGTTGATTATCTATACTTTTGGGATACACTGTATAGCAAAAACCTGTCATTAATGGAAGATTTCTTTGGTTTCTTGAATTTTCTGCAAAAATTAATGTAAATTAATTAATCTGTATACAGTAGAATCTGTGTAACACGAAAATGGAAAGAAAAATCAGACCATATAACAGAAAAGTCAATATTCCATGCTCAATGGAAAGTTATACTTAAAACATTATTGCTGAAGCCAGATTGTATTCTTTGTTTAGAAGCCTATTTTAAAATTTTTATGCCACATTTTGTTTGAATAAAATCAAATTGAAGTTTGTGGGTAAAATGCATATCAGGCATATTATGTATGCTTTTTATTTTTAAATGTAAAAGATTTAATGATATACAAAGAGTAAAAAATACTTGTGTATGGGGAAGATGCTCTTGAATTTCAAACATGTCAATTGTGGTTTTGAAAGTTTTATTTGGGAAATTTTGAACTAAAGCAGTGTTTCTCAACCTCTAACGAATCGTTGCCCCCTTCAACGTAGTATCGCCCCCTTCACTTCAAAATTCCGATGCCGAGGGCCAAGACTAATGCCAAATTTGTACTGCATTGAATAGACTAGTAACTAGTATAATGTTATTTGTTTAATTATTGTATGTTATAATGAATAAAATATCTAATTATTCTTAATATGATGTTTTACTATATCGCCCAGGAAATTGTTTTTCGCCCCCTAAAATATAAATTGTTACTAATTGCCCCCTCAACATGGAAAAACGCCCACATGGGGGCAATATCGCCCCCATTGAGAAACACTGAACTAAAGGATACAAAACATACAGGCTGCCCAAAAACTGTTGACAAAGAGAAATTGCAGGAAGAAATTGTTAAAAATTGATAAACAACAACCTGTGAACTTGAAACAAATTTTAGTGGGTCACAGACATGTATTGTTGAAACACTTCATCCACTTGAAATGGTTGTAAAATGTGATGATGATTGAGTATAATTTTGTCTGACAAAAGTAGGCAGCTCTAGGGTTTCATTTTATTTTTAAATTAGTTTAATAATAGAAGACGTTTTTACAGATGACAAAATTAAAGTTAAGTAAAAATTATTGTTATTAATCAAAAATTTGTTCTGGCAGTTGTTGATTGTTCTGTTGAGTACTGAAGTATGGTACCACTGTATTTGATTAACATTATTTTGATATACATGGTAGCATTGAAGGATTAATTAATCATTTTAATCAAGGAATACCTGTAGTAGGTAACCTGTATATAGCAGAAACCTGTCTACTACAGAAGAATTGCTTGGTCCTGTGGGATTCCATTCTAGACAGGTTTGACTATATGTAACAAGTTATGTAACTTTCCCAGCAAAATGAGATTCTGTTGAGATTTTATTTGAAAAACTTTTTATAACAGATGGCTTCACCCAAATTTTAAATGTTGCCGGAAAAGTTGAGCAACTCGTTGCTGGTTTATTTTTATTGGACAACATTTTACTTAATCGTTTATGTATCTTTAAATAAGCAATTACGAGGCTGTTTACATGGGCGATTACCTGAGGATTACATCGATTACCACAATATCTGCAAATGCGCACGTAACAATAAAGCATTCACTTCATTCTTTGTGACATATGCATTTCGATCCCTTATCCTTTATTCGTTACCAATATGAAAGTTCATACATTAATACAAAAATCCAGCAAAACTCCCTGCAGCATTTCAGAAATTTTCGATAAAAATCACAGGAGTTATTAAGCTTCAAAGAGGGTGAACAAAATGGTGTCCCCCCACACACTAACATCAATACATACAGAAAAAACACCCGAATTTTTTGCATTTCTCGACGTTTCAACGTGTCCTGAGTCCAAAAATGTATAAATCTTGGGAGGTCATTTGTTGACCGATTGTCACACTTTCCCTCTGTTATATATAACAGACAGGAAAGTAAAAAANCCTAAACCAATTAGAAAAGGAGATGCCCAAAAAGGTTTGTTTAATTTAAACTTTTTTTTTATTATTTATATTAAAGTGCATATTGTTTTTATAAAATAAATAATATAAATTTCCTTTACAAAATAATTTTAATTACATTTATAGTATATTCAATGGATTGATTGCATATACTGTTGGATTAATGAAATATAAGCATTTGAAATGCTAACAAATTATTGTATTAATTAATAAACTTTCTGATGTGTAGCTGCATTTAGTTGTAAGACTACTGTCACATTTTTTTTAGCATGAGTGGTTATAATTAAAAATTTCTCTTAAATTGATGATTTAAATTAATATTATGAGATTACAGATATTACAGATTCCCTGTAGATCAAAAAATTTTTATGACAATATTTTCATTAATGTTAATGCAAACTTTTGTGTATAAATGCTAAAAATATTCTGTTCAAAGCTTTATATGAATATATATAATTTATTACATTATCAAATATTGGCAATCTGTTTTAATTTTAAATGCTGATTAGCTTATAATTCTTCCTGTACTACAGGTTAAGTTGAAAATAACTAGGCATTGAGAAATTGGTATAATTTTTGTAATAATAATGCAATCATAATAAAATTTGTACATGTACAGTATGTACATCAATCAATGGAATTTTATAATTTCCACGTCAGTGTTGTGGGTATTGACCTAGAGAGGCTGCATGTACAGTGACAAAAAAGATGGTTGACCACTTGTGTGATCAGGAGTGAGCACAGATTGTTGCATGCTATGAGGTGGAGAATTTGGTGGTTGCTGTGCAGAGATGGTATATGGTGAAGGGATGTTACGCCACAATTTATCTGGAAACAACCAAGACTTGTCATTTAAAACTAAAATGATCACGTTTGGTTGTAAATGCACAGAGAAGTGGCTGTCCATCTACATCTCAATCTGAGGAAAACATGTCACTGGTGAATGGAACTGGTACCTAAATTGAATTTTAAGATATGCATCTGTATTTCCATTTAATAAGGTACATGTCAAATAATTTTTTATCATCATTGTTTTAGAACTATAGAAATTGTAGTGATTTCTGAATGCCTAACCTTGGTCACCTTTACTTAAAATCGTTTTCTTTCCTCAACCGTCATCCAGCATAGGGATTTACATGTTAAATCAAATTTGTTAAACTGTTTAACTTGAATTAGGGTTTATACCAGGGGTGGTCAACAGTTTTTGCCCCCGGGCTGAATTGGAAAGAAACTTTTTTCACAGGCCAAACCAGAGGCTGTCCTAGAAAGATTTTGAAGTGGTGCGAGATCTCATTGTGGTGTCACCCCATAGAGACTAAATTGTACATAGAGATTACAGATACCTTTCTCACATTATCATGCTTTATCAACATTCTAAGCTTTACTTATGAGATTTGTAATGGAGGATTAGCTCTAACTGGACAGTGAGTTGTTGATTTTTTTTTAGGCATTAGAATTTTTCACCAATCTATTCTGACTTGAGTAGCTAATATTGAAAGATTAATTGCAGGCCACATACAGCCTGCAGGCTGTATGTTGGCCATGCCTGGTTTATACAGTATTTTCATAAACACTCCAGAATTTTATGTACTTAAGTTTTATTATAACTCAAGTACTTGTTTTTTATTTCAAAAACAAGTTTCAACTGAACACACTAAATATTATGATCAAGCAACTAGTTTGAAATGAAGACAATTCCAAAATCTTTTAAAGACCATGGAAATACTGTCAGAAATATTAAATTTTGAAAATTTTAAAATTTGAAATGAATAAATTTTGTGTAAATATTTTAAAATTACTTCTCTTCATTTCTGGTTAGTAAATATATTGGGTGATTAAATGAAAAGAAAATTTGCAAAAGTGACCCACAGAATTTAATGGTACCTGACTGACTAGTCATGCAAAAGTGATTCCTAAGTTCAGTTTAGTATTATTGTTAAAATAAGTGTTGTTATAACTAAATGCCTTCTACTATAACAGAATTTTCATAATGGAAAGTTATCCAAAAAAGAAAAGTTTATTGAAAAATAAGGTGACAGTTTGTGAAAATATCCCAAATCATGTCTAGTTTTTAAACAGTTCTAATGATCAGATGTTGATATTCATTTGCTGAGAGTTTCAAATGTTCTCTCTCAAGTTCAAAATAAATGTTCCAAGATTTAAGTTTTTTTTTTTTCAATCCATAGCAGACCAGTAACAAGCATAGCTAGTTCATGACTGGCAAGTCTGACTTTTAACATTGCCAAACTCCTTACACTACTCACACTTCGGAGGGTTCTCTTTTGTTTGATGTAGTAGTATTTAAATTTATAACAATTAAATTATTTTTATACTTACTCATTTATGAATTAGAAATAATTAACTGACAAAGAATAATAATACCAAATATCTTTTTAGTATTTAAACATTGTGAAATATTAGGATATGAAATTTAAAAAAATTTTTGTTGAGTAATATTATAAAAAATTAATTTTTCATTGATAGTATAAGTTTTTTTTAGTTTAGTATTGTTACATAATGGAATTTTACATACTTTTTCCTTAAATCATCATAAACTTGATTTTCAAACTTTATTTTTGGTTTCATATAACTGTGTAATACGGTATATTATATTACAAATAGTTGTGAATAGGAATAATTTACTTCTAAAAATCATTATTAAGAAATAAACTAAAAATCCAGTCACCAGAATTAAATGAAATTTTTAACCTGAAATAGCATCTTGTTCATGATTAGTCTTGAGTTAAATCAAAAGTTTATCATCTAGTAATAGATCCAGGCCTCGGAGTCACTCACTTTTCTCACTTGTACTCACTTTTCTGAAGTATCCTCACTTTTCTCACTTTTCAGGTCATTTTCTCACTTTTCTCACTTTTTTGGTCATTTTCACGTGCTTAATTAAGATGTGGGACAAATCAAAAATAATTTTAAAGACAAACTATCTGCCAAATTATCGGACTATCGGAATAGAATTTTCTGGAAGAAAATACGCAGCCCTGAGCGGGACTCAAAATTGCAACTGTTACTCAGTGTTGTTAGGTTATAGGAAACAAAAATTTATTTCACGTATGTAAAAATATCCTTTATGAACTTAAAAAAATCCCTGTCATTACAAATTCAGAAGCCAGTGTTGAGTAAAGTTATGTACTCATGCCATATTTTCATTATTCGCCAAAATCTACCTCTTCCGAATTACATTTCCTTGTATGGAGTTTAAAAATAAGTATTCTAAGCATCCCTGCGTTTTTTGCTGTTTTCTAAGAAAATCCCTCTGTAGGGAAAAAAACACTAGGCGGAGGGATTACCCTCTCAAGCTGACAACACTGCTGCTGCTTTTAATTAACAATCGGGTTATGGAGTTGTTTACAAAAATATTTTTTTACTTGATTTATCTTTAAATAATTTCATAAACTTGAGTTAAATAATGATTTCATAGCATATTGTTAACGTTAAATC